CTCTTTTGTATGAACTTAAGAAGAACATTCAGGAAACTCCATCTATGCCTTGTACTATTATTATCCAGTATTTGTCACATTTAGAAGGCGTCTGATTTTTTGTGCTGTAATTAATTAAATTCACACATTGTCAGATAAGCTAAAACATTTTTGATATCTCAATCTCAAGAATATACTACCACAAAGGACCCAATGCCCTGATATATGTGTGTGTGTGTTTGTGTTTGTGTGTGTGCGTTTTCTGTATATTTAACTCAAGATAAAATGTTCATCAAAAAAGATTTTGGATGATATTACATAATAAACTGCATATTTTTTCTTGGGCATCATATATATGTATGTGTGTACTAACTTGAGTCTTGAAGCCTGAAAATCCAAACACAGCCTCAAGGGTACAAACCAATCATGGTTCAAAGCAGCACACTCACAAAAACTGTCAGTCACAGAGGTACTTCACTCTCCTAAAACAGCTGGCCCGTTTTCAGTCCTGATTCTGACTGGTTTCACTGTTGCCTGTGGCATACTGAACAATTACATTTCCTATCTGTGCTAGACAAAAAAGGATATCAGCATGGCAATGGTTTTAATCCTCTATCATCAGTTGTTTATGACAAGTGATGCAGAAACAAACACCAGGTGTTTCTTTCTACATCACTTGTCATAAGCAACTGCAAACACCGGTGTCCCACAAGGTTCAGTGATTGGACCCCTATTTTTCTCCCTGTACACAGGATCTCTTGGTGATGTAATCATGTCACATGTTTTTCCATACCATCCATATGCTGATGACTTTGTTTTTCTTTTCCCTCTGAAACTCAGGTGGCATCTCAAGTGAGTGGCAGATGTTAACTAATGATGATGGCTCAACACGTTTAATGAATTTAAGCAAAGAGTGAGTTGCTTCTCGTCCCAAGAAAAGGCTATTCCTTCTGTGCTTTTCTTTTATTTCTTTCCTTTACCTCATTTGGATCACCATCACCCTCTCACTTAACCAGAGCAAAGACAAGTAGAAGTCCACACTCAGCTTTGAAAGAGCTTATTGGGATACTATTTTTTATCACTGTCCCAATGTTGTTGACCCAGCCGGTAAACTGAAAAATTAATTAATCCATGAGCTGCTCTCAACCCTGAGAGTTATGATATAAAATAGGAAGTAGTTTACAATCAAAGAAGACAGCAACTAGTGAGGAGGAAAATTATTATAAAACAAAAATGGGGAGGAGGGGGAGTAAAAACAATGTTGGAGCATTAATGGACGGTGTGCAGGAGAGTGGGTGACAAAATAAGAGTTGAAGAGAATAAATGGGTGAAGAGTGCCTTCTGTCTTTTACAGTTTCCATGGACACGAAGAAAGCTGACTTACTGCTGTGTGAACAATTTTTTTGAATGGAAAACACATGCACATACACATGATTACCACACATTACTGCCATGATAACCACCATCACCTACTTGTCTCTCCAATCACAAATCTCCCTCCTCCTTAACTGTTCAAAGAAGACAAATGTGTTTTATATAAATGGCATGCTAACCACATGTCCCATGTTGTCTTGTGTGGAGATAAAGCCTTTTTTGGATGCCTGCTCGGCGCTCATTATTACAAGGTAGGAGAGCACAACACACAATTTGCAAGGCAGCAGAGCAACAAGATAAACGCACACAGGGCACAGCTCATTAGAAGCTGTGTTTATCTTTGATGGGAGATGACTGCTGGGCTCTTTGTTCTTGGTGGAACAGGCATGAAAATCACAAACACTGCATAGCCATTTATGTGTTATTTTTTTCATCCCCTCATCTTTTTACCAGTAAATGTAGAGGGTCCTGAAGCTCTGATACATTAATAAAAAGTATTTATATGAGGAAATTCTGTAACACTGTTCCCTCTATTGGCATCATATTTGAACTTTCTTTTCCTTCAGTAACTTCATTAATGATTTCTATACATCCCCATTATATCAAAGGAACATTTTATACCATACAAGAGATTATTTCTCAGTGAATGTTATATAGATTTGCCTACAGCATATGTCTTTGTATGGTGCATGTCACAAACTGCCTAAATTAAATCATGGTGTCTTACACACACACTCAGGCCATTACTTTTTCCACTCTGCATTATAACTGGGCTTGTCAATTACTGAAATGAGGGTGAAATTGACTGTGTGCTTACTTACTATAGACACTACTAACTGAATGGTTGAGTAAATGCACAATAGGAATAGCAGAACAAAATACACACTCTTTGAAATATTGACATTCTACCGTGAGAAATAAATGGAACTGTTGGTTATAATTATTCCCTGGGCACATCAGAAACGATTATGAACAGTACAAAAAATGACCAGGAAGATAAATAAGTGGCCCCTCTCTCTGTCTGTATGCGCATTCCTAATGTCTTATTAGTTGGGTGTATGGCAAGACAAATCCTGGATGTCATTGCGGATGAATCCATCGCTGCACTTGTCCTGGCAGGACCACGACGCGAGAAGCTCACTGAAAGAAAATCTTTCTTTGAAATGGGCAGTGTCTGCGTTGGTTTTAATGGTTCCTTTAAGTTAATGTACGCTAAACTTCATATTTAACGTTACATGACTGGCTTCTTAAGTGATATCTTCTCTCTCTCTCTCTCT